GAGCAAGTAATGCAAGTTCTGTTGTTCTAAAAGACTGATGAAAAAAAAGAAACACGATAGAATCAAGTAGACCGTAAGGAACGCAGATTTTGCTTATCAAAGGAACTCGAAACTAAGCATTTTCATGTGCATGTGTACATGAGCTCTACATGAAACTACAATTCAATATCCAAACAAACTCTTTCATGTTGATCAGCATAATCGAAAACCTATATTCGAAGTATTTTTTTCGCTTTTTAGCGAAAAATGTCCTACATGAAATTCCTTTCTTAAAAGGCCTCGGGTCTTTCAAGGAAGCGAAATCTAGAAATTGCTTAGATACCAATGTGAAGAGGGCATGTCGGGGTGCAAATCTAGCTAAAAAAATTCTCTCTAATAAATTCACCAATTTGTCTTTAATTTCGTACACTACAACTGGTCTGAAAAAGTACCTAGAAAGATCACGTTCCCACGTTGGCATGTGCCCCCGACTGTCGTCTATTGAACTCTGAAAACCGCAGGTCGCTATGACTTTCCATTCAAAAGTTATAAGCTTTTCTTCCACCGGCCTTCTTTAAAAATTCCGATAGTAGTTCGGATCATCTTTATTATCCAACAAAATCAAATTCAATGCCACCACCACCACTTCCACCATCTATATAAAGAGTTAATTCAACAAATCCATGTCGATTTTCATTTCCAACACCAAATATAAATAGATATCATCATAGACTTTATTGATGTAACCAACATCAATAAATTCAAGAGGACCAACAAATTCTAGACACATCAACAATTGTTTCATCATATCCCATATCAACAACAACAACAATTGATAATAAAATAAATAATAATTTAATTGGAACATCACCATGGTTAGACACATTTACCATCAATATTTAAAGATAAACAAATTTTACAAAAAGAATAATTAAAATTAATTGCAACAAAAAATAAAGGTGCTACAACACAACACATCAATATTTTTAAAAAAAACATTCAAATTTATTTACTGATCTTATACATACATCAAAATCAACATCAACAATAGAACAATCAACAAACATTATCAACAATTAATAGCAATTGATTATATATTAACACAAATATTAAATAATATTCATCATGGACAATATTTACCATAATATCAATTTATAATTTATCGTTTCTAAGGTGGTGGTAGAACGTTATTTTATTTTATATATTGGAGAACAATGTTACATTAACTTATATATAAATACCAACATGTCATAGAATTAGCATAATTAACTTTAGATTTTTGATCATATAGTGAAAATATTGATTGTCAACGTTTATTTTATTCAACAGATATATCAAATCAAACATTTTTTTTTTTACATGATTTACAATCACCAATTATAGCACGTTATATACGTATAAGATTAATTCGACAATAAAATAAATGATAATAATGATTATAAAAAATATGAAAATAAATTAAAATCAATTGAAGCTATTTATGCATTATTGTCGAGAAAAATTATTTTATTTATTATCATCAACAAATAATATTGAAGAAATATTTTATTGAAAATATTTATTAACAATCTGTACAATTATAAATAGAAATAGAAATAAATCATGCTAATAGACAAATAAATCAATGTAGAAAGATTTTTCAAATGGATCATATAGAACATTTATTATCAACAACCAACTAAATGATTATTTAAAATTATTATCAGATTTATTAACAAGTTAATTAACATCATTATCAGGAATAATGCAACAAACAGATAGGTAAATAATATTATTAATAAATCTAACATAATTATATCGTATTCTTTGGATATATCATACGAATATCTATTTGTTTGGATACAGAGTACGTGGAAAAAGGAAAACAGTGAATTTTATCTCTGAAGAATACTTATCAATATCTATGAGAAAAAATTTCAGCCCTATTGGATAAACGTTAGAGGGCGACTGTAAACATTCAGAATTGAGGAAACTAGCCTTTTCTCTTACGTTAACAAGGAACACTACCCGAAGCGATACTCCTAGTTTCAATTTATATTGAGTTCACAACGGAGGTTTCTGTAAGACTAGAAAAACCCTAAAAGAGTTCATCCCCATGGGCCTCCAGAGGCTAGTTATGACAGTTTTAAGAAATTTTCGATCCAGTAAAACGATCATAAATCTGCTCCGGAGATCCATGGGAGCAAACTCTTTTTGGATTTTTCTAGTCCTACCGAGACGTCATTGTCAACCTAGTATGAGCTTAAACGGTGGGCATCACTTCGGCTAGTTTTCTAGAAAGTCAAGGAAAAGAATTTCTTTTATTGAGTAACTATATAAGATTGAGATGTTTTGAGTCAAATCATGTCTCTAATTGCACATGCACTTTATGGCCGGTTCGAAATTGAGTTTTTGATAAAAAAAAAAAGAGAGAATAACTGTTCTAAGTTTTATCAGAAAAAAAAGCTTAACGATCTCTATTCCACGATGATGAGAAATGATTTTTATTCAGTTTCTTCGAATAATTGATGGGTTACATTGTAAAACAAAATTTCTAACTAAATTCTTTAGTTTGTTTTTATATTCTTCATTTATTGGTTTACAAATCTTTGATATGCCAAAACGTTTATTAGAATTATGTTCATATCATTCATCGTGCCCTGAATTTGTTAAAGAATGTTTTCAACATTATTTTCTAACAAATTATATTTAAACGAGTGATAAACAACAATCATTATTTATAACTATTATTGATTTATGTGAACAAAGATTATTAAGAATAAATTCTTCAAATGAAACAACTATTTATTATAATCATTTATTAGCTATTCAATATAGAATTAAATAGAAATCAGAATTATCAATCAATTGAATATTTATTTTCTTATTCATATGAAAAAACGAAATTTTTCACAATTAATTTATAAACATTGGCAATTTTAATTCAGCAAATAATTATTCGAGAAAATTATCTAAAGAAACGTTTATTTAAAAAATGAAAATTATCATCGTCATCAACAGCACAAACACCAACAATAATTCTATCAGCAACAAATTCAATTTATTATTTATCAGTTTTACAACTTTCAATATATCTTATTAATATATTAATTTAAAATAAATATTTATCAAATCAATTATTTATATTAATATCGAAATCATTATCTGATATAACTCGTTCATCGACACACCATTTTTATTATTAAATTAATATATAAATAAACGATTATTTAATTAAATTAATTTTAAATACAGAACAAATTTTGTTAAAATATTCATTTAATTATTTTGTTAATTGATTTTATTGATAATGATATGTATTTAACAAATGAAATTAATATAAATATTCATGATGATAAAGAATTTAATGATGAACATTAAAAAAACAAAATTTCCAGCATTTCAATAAAACATCTTGAGAAGATATATTATATCCAACAACTCATCGTTTATGGTAATATAGAATTTATATTTGATTTATTATAAATAAATCAATCAATCATATAAAATAGAAAGATTATTAAATAAAAATCTATTTCAATTAAATCATTATAGAATTGATTATAATTTTAAAATAAATCAATATGAAATAAAACGAAATTATTCATCTAGAACAATTGATTTATTAAATGTAATTTATCAATATATTTTATCTTATTTTATTGAACAAAATTTATTATATTCATATTTTATTATATTATTAACAAATATATATAAACAACAGAAACAATCTATAATAATCAAGGTTAACATTAATATTTATTTAAAACCATTATTTATTATCTAAATTATTACATAAGATAAATAATTCAAATTTTTATTAGAATCATCATTAATTCCTCAAAAAAATTCTATAGAGAAGAACGTTTTATTCCATCGTGATCAATTGATCGATCTCTAGAAACTAGCATAAACTCGATTGAAAACGAACATTGACACTTGGTGATCTTTCTTTGTCAGAGCTGGATGAGTCAACGTTAAATATGATTCGAATATTACCGAAATTATTTTCAAAGTGAATTTTTTCTGAATTTTCTAAGATAAAAAAACGATATGATCGTCAACATTTATAGAAAAAAATTTTGTTTAAATTCTTTATTCAACATATAAAACTACTTCGTAAAGAGAATAACACAACGACGATTCTTTAAATTATCTCTTATTCAAATGCGTAACTCAACAGTGGACGGCATGTTTCGAACAGGAAAGTAGTTGACTTCCAGATAAACAAATACTGTGTGAACTTATCAGATCTATGTCTTTGTTTAACTTGATTTTTAACTATGATTTCAAATTTCAAATGATCTCATATTAAAAAAAACTTTATTTTTATGGGAATAATTTTAATTGAATCCTATTTAGGTATCCCTCCTGACACGACATTCGAAACGAATCGTACTCCACTCTATTATTGGTCTATTAGTGCTGCCTTCATTACAACAGCATCTTTTATTACATTTGATTATTTTTATTATTTTTATTAGTGACTATAAGATAATTAAACAATTGATTTATTCAATTATTTTTTTTTTTTCTTTCAAGTTCATATTGGATCAGACGAAGAACGAAACGAAGGTATTCAAAAATGTGAAATAGAACGTATCGTTAGTAGTGAAGGTTTAACTAGCCAACGTTTGTTGAAATATTTTACTTCTTTTCGGCATTTGTTTTTTTTTTGTTTAATTAGAATTAGAAAAAGCGATTGATTTATTTCAAAAACAACGAATTGACGAACAAATTCAAGTTGAGAATTACGAACGATATTAAAAATAACGTAATAAATGTCGTGAACAAGAAGGTCTTAATTAAAAAAAAAGAAAAGATATGTGTTACATATTCAACAACAAATATATAAAATGAACATGTTAATCATATTCTAAGATCAATTGTTAAATAAAAGACAAACGAAATCTTCTTCATCAAGAACAAACATTTATTTGAATAAATACAGATCAATATAATAAAAGAAATAATTATCTTCTAGACAACATTTACATAAAAAAACGAGAACAATCTTTATGATTTTGTTAAAGTTTGTTTGTTTTTTGTCTAATCGAACAGCTATTTTATTTAGTTAATCAATAGAAAATGCCCTCAATCCAATAACAAAACTTATTTATCCAAAAAAGAAAGTTTCTATTAAAATAAATGATGATGATTTTATAATGATAAGAAAACGTCCTAAAATTATTTATCAATCAAAAATAAATTCTTTTCAAAGAAAAAATTATTCGATTAAACGAATATGTTCAATAAATTATAAGACAACATCGAATATAATTCTATAACATCTCCCATTTGTAATAAAGTTTTATTCAATTTAAGTACTATTGATCAACGTCAACAACATCTTTATCGATCTATTCAACTAACCTCTATTTATTAATCTATCCCATTGACAATTCACAGATTCGTACGATAATACTTGATTTTAATTTATTAAAAATTTTTACTTACAAATAAACTCCTCGAAATAATTCATTGCTTTTCAATTCTCTTTTCTACGATGGGTTTGAAATTTTAAGACTAAAATATCTGTGGAATAAATCCGGTCAATAGTGTACTGATCGTTGAGTTATAGTTGTTTTTAATCAATGAGATTTTTTCAGAAGATATAACTAGATATTATTCAAATATGATGAAAGTATTAGCAAAAAACGAATATGTCTTTGTTAAGATATTGGATTTGCAAAAAAAAAAGAAAGTAGGCACGTTTCATAGTAAAGACACAATAAGAAAATTTTTCCTAAACGTTATTATCTCGATAAAGATAGATTTATTTTTACTAGGAGCTCAAAAGTCATGAATAACTTCGAGCAGTCTCATCGTTTGAAGATGAACGAGAGAATGTTTTCGATTTGAGATAATCCCTATCATATAGACCCTAACGGAACTCTCCATATACAGGAAGAGTTTCGTGCTCCTAGCTTTATTTTCATTTTTATGGTATTTGCATTACTATGCTCTCGTCTTTCTTTGGATCACTTCGATAACGGACTTTGAAATTCTCGTCTTGAAACTTAGCATAGTAATAATCCTCAATGAGGCTAGTCTATTATGAATATTTTATATTTCCAACGTTCCTTCTATTCTTAGATACGAGTTTAAGAATAAATATTACTTTTCACGATAATCTCAAAATAATAATTGTTTTATTTTCACATTTCCGGATAGGAACAACCAAAAAACAAAATTTGAAATCTTCAGAATAGACTAGGCTCATGAAGACTTAACACTCTGCAAAGTGATACTGAGCCTAGACATGAAATATCTCAATAGAAATCATCTAGGTGCACGAACTTTTTTTACGGTGGTGAGAGTTGATTAGGACCTACATTATGCATCGAGCCTTGACTCGATCGCCAATATACATTTTTGAAGTTTTTCTCATAATCAATGCATAAAATAGTTCTACTGTCTCCGATATTCTAGAGAGGTT